GATAGAGATGGAGAAGGAGGAGAAGGAGCGGCTTTGGGGATACTGTGGTGGGTGGTGGGTAATGTGCGATGTACAGAGGCTGGTTGGGACATGTATGGATAGGGCGCTGGACTCTTTTGGGGGGGTGAGCAGGGTGAGAGAGACTGTACATGTGTAGAGAAGATGAATTGCGAGGGGAGGATTGTCAGGGATTGAGGTTAGTATGGTATTAGCAAAGCAAGCGGAATCAATCCTTATCATTGACGTTACACAAACAGCGCTTCACCCCGGCTGTGCTTTGGAAAGTGGTGAAAAGTCTTATTAGACGCTAGTATCTCTCTCTCCAAAAGAATACCTCGCCCGCAAAATAACTTTCGAGTCAAGCCTTCCACCATGGACTCACGTCTCACCAAGTACATGTGTGGTGATTACCCATCCTGTACATTGTCTCTCCCCAAATGCTCAACATGTCTACTCCAAGGTCTGTTGAAAAAATGGGCAAGAAGTCAATAAAGTCCTAAATTAGCGAGAGACCCCGGACCTTTAGCGAGACCCGCTTTTCACATTAGTGCTTTGTTTACCTGAGGGAGCAGGTATGGGGGATGCATTGCCAGAACATATAGACGTGGTTTCAGTGAGCATTTTGCAGGTTGATCCGTTGCTAGTGAGTGATCTAGCGCCCACGAGCGACGACTTTGCTGGCTGAGGAGGTACCGGTACGGTAGGTCAGTCTGTATATCTCCCGGGTCCGAGCTGACTTGATCTTTGACATGCTCCTAGAGCAAGTGGTTGGGGGGGGTTTGAGAAAGATGGCATAGGCTTCACGACACGTGGGAGTCATTTGTCATGCGGTACTTTGTTGGCCTGCGAATCCGATGCGAGGTATGATATGCCGAGGGAGCGATGAGTGACGATCCGAATTGCGAGATTGATCAAAGCGCCCCAGAGTTATCTTTCTTAGGAATTACGAAGTACTGTACGGAGAGTGCCTAAAGGATTATGACGGCATCGCCGACCCATGCCCGCGTAGGCGATCAAGGTCCTGCCTTGTGAAGCCAAAGTTGGATAAGCAATATATATGTATGTGTATATATATATGTATATATGCCCTCGAGGCCGAGATAATCAATCTACCGGTGTTTGCCACCGGGCCTCTTGAGGCTGACAAATGAGAAAAGAGCCATGATGGAAAAACGTCGGGTGATCAGCTGATACTTCCCCTAGAGTACCTGTCACATTAAAGCTTATGCACGGAGTTTCGTCCCATCATCATCTTCGCCTGCAACTTGAAAGTCTTCGATCGGGAGGGGGACAAAAGGGCTTTTGCTCCGAGACCAAGGGATACGGTGAGTAAGTAAGCTCATTAATATTCGATCCTATGATTCCTTGGTGAAGCTTCGCTCCTTTCGAGGCCTGTGATGAAGCCAGCCGCAAGGTAGAATTTCAAGAAGGTGGTTCCTGGCTCAAATATAGGATGCATGAAATGCAGCCGCTAGTCCCAAGCCCTTCGATAATCTGTGAGGCGGACAGCGTCTGATCGTGCATAAGGGTTGTTTCTTCTGCTGCTGGTACTACGTGTCTGGGTCATAGCAATATAGATTAGATTATTGACGGGTCTCATCTCGGGATAAATCGATAATTCGACGGAATACGAAGATGTTGAGGTTGATGGCAGACGTACGGGTTGGGTGTTGATGTTGGCAAGGCAAGGTAGATGAATATTCGACATTCGCCACGTGCCCGCCGGTGGAGATGCGTTGGCAGATAGTACGTAGTACAAGTACGTTTGTTTAATAGGTAGGTACTTACTCTGTATGGGTCTGAGTTCTGAGTCTGAGCTGGACAAGGGTTCTTGTACACTTTACGTTCTGACAACAAAACAAGCCTTGAGCTATTTATCATAAACACGATAGATTTATCTATTGTAAACACGATACAACTGATATGACACTGTCCAGTAGGGTATTTATATTTGGATTGATATTCATATCCAGACCAAGAATTCTGATGCCTAAAACTGGAGTCAGCCCGACGTGGCGGACCCGAGACAGCTGGCCTGGTCCAATAGATTGATTGATATTTGTTTATTTGACCAACTGCCCGGCTTACCGAGATATGCATGGGCCGAATTGCCTCCCTCAACTGAATCTCAACCTCAGCCTCATGTGTCGTCTCATGAATCTTGATATTATCGGCCTCAACATAGTCCGTCCGTCTTTTTTTGTCTTCACCTCACTCGAGCTCGAGATACAGCAACAAGTCGCATTTAGATATATTCAGAATATCCAGATATATCTAATATATCTACTCACGGTCGCTCAGTTGTTATCAGTGAAGAGACCGGCCGGCCCCGTCTCATCTCACCGCCCACCGATCCGATCGTGATCACCGTGCGGTAATCTCTCTGCCCGCCTACTCGAAACCCCTGAATTTTGACCTGATAACTTTCCTTCCACATCGGGACGCGATAAATTTCCTTAACTCTATTCCATTTTCACTTCCGCATACCGGTACTCGACTCGACTCGACACGACTCGACGCCAGTCCCGTTCCCTTTCCTGTTCCGATCCCATTCCATTCACCGCCGCAGGAACATCGAGGTTGACCGGCCGTCGTCAAAATTCGCACCTGCGAGGCCTCTCTTTTTGACAAAAAACGAGAGCGCAGGATTCAAACGCCTTCGCCTTTCCCCATCCGAATGCAACGCTTCTGCGACTCCCCACGACCGCAGTAGACACGACGACGACCCTGCCATCGCCATGCCGAGCTTCTTCTCGCGGCTCAAGGGCAAAGATGGCCCGGCCAAGGTGAAAAAAGGCGCGCAGCAGCCAAGTCAGAACGAGGCGCCGCCGAAACCGCGGTGGGAGGATGCCTGGACGCGCACTTCGGTTGGTCCCGAGGAGGTGCAGGAGTTGCTGAGAGGATGCACATCAGAGCTGAAGTCCAGAGGTATGGCTAGGACGAGAGCTGCCGCTGTCAGATCCGCATGGCCCTCTGGCCCCAGGGAAATATCCATCTGTCACACAAGCTAATTTCATCTCTGTGCCAGCTTTGGATATTCCATTCCTACTTCTACCGTTCCGACCCACTTCCGATCCAAGTGCTGCGCGGTCGTTCATTAGGAATTTTTTCGATCGGAGAGAGCCTCTGCGTGGAGAAGTCTTGGCACAGGAGCTGCGGTTGACGGAGCCTATGGTGAGCACAACCTGTGGACCCCGTCGTGGGCGTCTCTGACGAGCATCAGGTTTTATGCAGCGTGGTGAAATGGTGCTGGAGCAGAATACCAGGAGGAGTTGTGGGATGGGATGCGTATAAACTGTTTCAGGTTGGAGAAAAAGGTATGAAGGAGCATTCAACTTGGCAAGAGGGCGATACTAACAAAGGGAAAACTCCAGATTCTTCTCTGGCTCGAGACTCGTTTGCAACCTTTATACCCCTCAGCGTGGACTCGGAAGCGCGATCAAAGATCATTTTCGATTTCTTCGACCTTCTCTCGGCGATTGCTGCGCATGCAAAGACCAACGGTCTGGGTGGACGCAAGCTATCGAGAATGGCTGGATTGTGGTGCTTCGAAATTCATGATGAAGGCAATGGATTCGAAGGGGGTTACAAAAGATGGATCGCGTAAGCAATTTTGCAATTTATGGGACCGGAAACTGACTATGAGGTAGAGCTGCGGACGCTGCAAGCCATCTATTTTTCGCCTACCTCAGATCACTTACGCCGAGTACCTTAAAGGGGATGGGTGGCATATCAATCCTTCCCATGTCCCTGCAAAAGTTGGTACAGGAGACGGAGTACCCACCCGAGCGACCTGCTCTGCTACAAACGAGGACGACAAAAGTGGTTATGATCGTGGATGCAGTATCCCCCACTCCATTCGCCTTGTTGCGCAGAGCAAACCACTTTCAGTACCGAGACGACGATAGAGCACTCCAAGAATATGCGGAATACGAAGATCCAGTCAAAGCGCTCACGGAAGAATGCCGCCGTGTGTTGCGATCAATTTCCTCGGCAAACCAGTCCCAAGTTTCAAATTCCAAGGAGTCAACTGGTCTAACAGACGCCTCGTGGTCTCGATTCGAAGACATAGGGTTCTCTGGTGGCTTCGACGAAGAGGACGAGGATGAGGAGAGCAATTTTGCCAAGAAGCGACCTCAACCTGGTCTCAGAACCAAGGCTGCTTCAAAGAATGTGGGAGGGGGAAGACCTACGACCCCATCTTGGGCGGAGTTTCTTTCCTCTGGATTTGTGGACGAGGCTACCAGCGGTCCAGCACCTCTTCTGCTCCCTCCCGACAAAGTCTTGCCCCCAATTGACACCAGAGGCCGAAGTTCTCAGTCGCATAAACCACGTCTGGAGCAAAATCGCCTCGAGCCGGGAGAGCTTGCTAGCATCGCACGGTTTGACCTCGACGATTCCTTCTGGTGGGTCTGGATTAGCAGCTTGGCAGGTGAAGAGTCGGTTCAGAGGAAGGCGGCTTTCGGAAGATGTGCTCTCATCGAGACGACAATTAAGGGGGGCAGATGGCTAGTCATGGAGGAAATGGTCAAGGGGGCAGCTCCAGAACCCGAAGAGGGCGCGTACATTGCAGAGAAGAAGAGCTTTTGGGGCCGATCAAAGAAAAATAAAACCATGGCTCGTCGGAAGTCAGTCAGCAAACAGCCACTGGGTGCAGCCCAAAATCTGGGCGGGAGCCAGTTTGAAGGTGGTAGTAAATCGAGTATCGGTCCGGATCAACAGGCTCGTATTCAAGCCGCAGCCATGCAATTGCAGCAGAAGCAAAGACAAGAGGAGGCAATGCAAGCCACTAATCGACGAGGACGCAATGACCCGGATACCTACTCGACAAAGACAAGCAGCGTCTTCACCCTCCAGCCTATAATTATGAGCGAGGCTTCTCCTGCAATGAAGTGGGCCCACAAGTACGACAAAGATGCCATCCGGGAAGCGTATCTCGGCAACAGTAACCACGGCCGAGGACTTGGGGAAGCGGCTATGCAGAATAATGGAGGTGGTAAGAGCCAGGATACTGTTCGACCAACCCCCCCAAACAGGGAGAACTCTCGGGACAGAGATTTGCCTTCGTTGCCATCTCCAGACTCATCTTTCCCGCCTACTCCACGAAATGAAGTCCAACCGGAGGAGCACCAACGTCAATCCGAGCAGGCGGCAAATGCCCTACTCCCCAGTGCAACCCGAGCCTCGAGTCGTGCCAAATCTCGCATGGACCAGCCAACACCGGAGCCCAGAGGATCGATGGACCAGGGTGGACCAAGTCCTGAGAACAAGAACAACAAGCTCAAAAAGAAAGATAAAGAAGGCGGTGGGGGATTCAGAATGATGTTTGGCAGGAACAAGAACCGCGACTCGGTGGTCCCCAAGGGTCCTCCCCAGGTCATTAACAATGGTGGTCTCCAACCTGGCCAGCCATCTCGACGCTTCGCTAGCTTCAGAAAAAAGAATGTCGTGTCTCCTGTTCAGAATCTCACGCCTTCCATGAGCCGACAGTCGACAGATCAGCGACAGTCGACAGATCAGCGACAATCGACAGATCGGCGCACGTCAATAGGATCATCGCAGCAACGCACTTCAATGGTATCGCGAACTCAGAACTATGATGGTTCGTACGAGCCTTCTATCGACAGTATATCTCATGTAGATACCAACGAGGCGCATGAGGCAAATCAAGCATTCTCCAGCTTCGACCAAGGGCCCCTCGAGGACGTGCCTGCATTTGTTCCGGATGAATCTCCCAGACAAAGCGAGGATCAACATGAGAATGCGATGCCTCCAAATATTCCCCGGTCCCGAACCAACGATGGAGGAGCATTGACTCAGCAAGTCACGCCTTCTCAAGACCGGTGGGCTCAGATCCGTAAGAACGCTGCTGAGAGATCCGCACTGCGCCAGAACGAAGAGCAGAGCAGAGGCGGATATAGTTCAAAGACTGAGGGTGATGATGAGACGAGTGGTGAAGAGAGTAAGCTCCCTATCTCCAAGAGTTAAACAATTTGAAACTGACGAAAGCCAGCTATCGAGTCCCGAGTCGCTCGCATCAAAGCCCGAGTCGCCGAATTGACCGGTAACGTGGAACCAGGCAGCACCCTAACTTCCACCGCCCCGCCCATCCGCAAACCCTTCAACTAATAGCTTCCTTCCAACGGCAAATTAAAAGTACACGCGAAACTTTTGAAGTCAGATACGACTACACACACATCTCGATCCCCCTTCAATCAACCTCTGGCTTGTACTAACCCAATTTTGGTTTCGTAGCAAGATTACCTACCTAACCTAACTTCTCAGTACCTAATGCAAGCGAGCACAGGTCCTTGTTTTTGCCCTTTCCTTCTTTGAGATACCACGAACGAAAGATTGCTAGCGATCTCTCCCACTCTATCTATTTCTCGGCCTGCCTGCTTTTTTATTCTGCTGGAGATGGGAGACACACTACCTTGTGGTTTTTGGTATTTTGGCTTTGCTTAAGTCTTGCAAGGGGAATGGCGAGGTGTGAATAGTGGGTGCACAGGACAGACAAAAAAGACGACTCTTTGCGGGAGCAGGCGAGGGGGCATTATCAGCTAGAGGAAGGCAGATAGATGGATGGAGGTGATGGCTGCTTGCTAGCTAGATACCAGGCGTGAATTGAATGTTCATATGCGTGTTGCTTTGTTGGTTTCCAGCCGTTTCCTCATCCAGTTTCCTTTGCACGTGCACGTTTTCTTAATAACTCGCCCGAATCTCCAGATCCGTTTTTTGTGACTATTGTTCGAGCGTTGGCTGATACTGTCGTAACCGTATAGCTGGGGATAAAAGGAGGCGTGGGTGGGATCTGCACACTCCCAGCACAGCACAGCACAGCACATCAATCTTCTCGAATGTTTGTTTTGTATCCAACTCCCTTCCCTTCCCTTTCCTTCTCTTGGTCGAGCAATGTATCGAATCGTGTTGTGCATTATATTATACTGTGTTATATTATGTTATAATATTGTATTCCATAGAAACTTGCAAGCGCTCTCTCTGCCTCTTCTCCACACGCATCCTGTTTTCTTTCCTTTTTTTTTCCCTCCTGTCATGGCACTTACCTACCTACTTACCTATCTACTTACCTGGCTGGTACTTACTCTTTTCGTCAACCCGTACCTCGTGCTTGATCTGATCTTATCTTATCTGATGTGGTATTGTGAGATTTGCGCTTGCTGATTGCTGCTTGTTGCTTGGTTGGTTGGTTGGTTGGTTGGTGGGTGGGTGGGTGGCTTGTGCGGGTATGTAAGTTGTGCTAGGAAGATGAGGAGGAGGAGGAGGAGGAGGAGGAGGAGGAGGAAGAGGAGGAAAGAGGGTAATAAGAGAGGGGAGAAATCCTAAGTAGCCGCCGCTACACATACATACACAATATATATAATTCCGGTCTGCTATAGAAGGGTTGAGTTGGATTAAATATTATTTCTGGCCCATGAATTTGAATCGTGACTTTGTGGACTTTGAAAGGATGAACGTAGAGATTTATTTTCATTTTTATTTTCATTTTTATTTTCATTTTTT